TCGGCAATCCGATCCAATTGTTGACAGTATAGATCAGCAGTGATGGTGCAACCATTTGGTAGAACTTCCCAGTGAATAATCCCATTGACACCCCACCAGACGCTCAGCATCACCTTCTTAGGGTGTAGGTCAGCCTTAGGTGTTGCTACGCCTGTTTGACCAGGACTTAGCCATTGGCGTCTATGCGTGTAGTTAACATACAATACCCACTTCTCATCACCAGTGATAAGATTGCGTAGCCATTGATAGTTGCGGTGAGATGTGATTAAATCCATACATGCATCAACCCTGTATTGCAGCTGATATGGTGATAATTCATGGGGTATCCAAACTCCATATCTCCATGTTTTGCCTAATCCGTGCAAATGTTTTTCCACCGCAGTATGGGAGCACCCAAGCTGATCTGCTAAACACCGTGAAGTCAATCGAGGATCTTGTTCGATAAGCTGCTGTAAGAGGTCCACATCCACCTCCAGTGGTCTACCGGGTCGAGGTAAATCGTCGAGTTCTAAGTTACCATTCTTAAACCGATTGAACCAATGTTGTGCCATACGAATAGAGAGTACATCCTCACCCATCGTGCTGCAAATGTTGTTGGCTGCTTCTGTTGCTTTATGACCCAGACGGAATTCATGAAGTAAAAGTATATGAATTTCTCTACGAGAAAGATTCATTTTCTGTTCGTGGTCAGCGTACATATCGATGACTTTATTATCGTTCGAAAGATATTCACACTCCCTTTATATACCCTTAGTATGGAAACTTCTAGAACTTTCTCGAATGTTCTAGAACAATTTCAAAAAACCGCAAAGACTTAGTTGCCAACCTAATATATATACCTCCAACCGACATAGAAAGAAATGTGATATTCGTATCACATGAAATTCTACTACAATCGTTTGCAGCATAAACCAGACAATGAGACTTAAAATCAAGTCAAAACTCGTTCTGGTACTCTATATCACCACTGTCGGTGAATAATTTTTATATTTTTATGTTTAATGCCATGAAAGATGCATTCTAACACTGTACAACTCCACCCGCTTACGAGAGTTTCAAGCGAGGTTGACAGCAGTCGTAACTCTCGCTTCATTTATTTCATAAGATCACTTTTATACAAGCTCATAGCATATCTCGTCATAGCCCAAAGTTAAAAAATCCATCAAACTCACACTTGTAGCATCAGTTGTACTTTCACGTTTTGACTTTTAATTTTCAAACCAAAAGAATTTAAAAGAATCACGAACTATACAATCTCACACTCTCACATCATCGTACCAGGTGTGGGTGCGGCGAAAGGCGTTTCCTAAATGGAGAAGAACATCCGATTTCACAGACATACCTTCAAAGGTGCTCTATTTACAGCTAACACTAGTTAAAACCTAGAATTCCACAACACAAAGCTGAAACTTAAAAGACCATCGACAGTACTTCAAAAATACAATTTGAAATTTCAACAAATATTAACTTCAAAGGCTCGGTTTATTAAATAACTTTAATAATAATTCGAAAACGTCTATTTCATACAACACAACACACGCTCTTAGTGTATAGAAACCGATCTCAAACGAAGGAATCGATCTCTCACAAGGAGAAGAAACTAGTCATGTGATGCTTTCAATCTAAAAATCTTAATAATAATTAATATTGTTATTTCGATTTTAGTATGAATTTATCCTTAATTTCATAGTATTGGAGACTTTTGAAATTAAATATTATAAAAGATTATAAACATACCTGATGATGGATCCCTAAAGCAAGGTTGACACGCGTCATGTGATGCTTTCAATCTCGAAAATCTTTTATAATAAATTAATATTATTCTGGATTTACTTATTACGAATTAGTTCTTAACTTCTTCAACTTATTGAGGAGTGTTGAATTTAAATGTAATAATAGATTGTAAGCATACCTGATGATAGACCCTCAAGCAAGGTCGAAACGCGTCGTGTGATGCTTTCCATGTCGAAAATCTTTTATAATAAAAAAAATAATAATTTTATTCGGATTTTAGTTGTACGGTTTTATCTATTACTACTTCAGTACTGAAGGGTTTTAGGTATATGTACTATAAATTGCACAGATGCCTGTCGAGTTCCTTAAGCAAGGACAAAACACATGTTGTGTCGATGCTTGCAAGCTAAAATTTCTAAATAATGATTTGTCTTTGAGTACTTCATTAAGTTGGAGAGTTTTAAACTTATATAATAATAGATTGTAAACATACCTGATGAGTCCCTTAAGCAAGGACGAAATGTCGTGTGATGCTTTCAATCTCAATACCTTATAAATATCTTCGAAACACGTGTCTTACCAGCTATTGATTGATTTTTTCTTATTAAATCATTCACACCCACACCCTCTCAAGCGATCGAAAAGATATGTCTCTTGAATTTTATATAGCAGATACGGACACCGTTAGATACGATGGTGTCCCACTTCTATGCATTCAAATTTGTTTCAATGGTTCGTATAGTAATTAAATACTCATGGAAATGAAAACATTTATGGTTGATATGCTTCCTCCCTTGTTTCGAATTTCTATCTAGATATAGACAAAATTTTCTTCTAAAAATGAAGACAAGTGGAGAAGAGTTGTGAACTTCAGATACAAGGCAAACAACGTAAACTAAAACATTAATGATCAATTAGATTTCGATCTTGAATCTAGGCCTGAACTCTAATTCAGACTCAGTGAGGAAAGGTGAGTTCAAACCGAAACTCAAATTCAATATTAAAAACTCTCAAAACGTTTGGATTTGTGTTAGAATTTAGTGTATGTCTAATTGTAACTCAAAGCCATATATTTTCAAAAAAAAAATTAGCATTTTGTGCAAGAGAACCGCTTTTTGTTGTATGTTTAATAAGCCTAAAAGTCGAGCATCAAGGATCCTTTCATACGTTACTATTTTTGTAAAATTTAATTCGGTGAAGGATATTGACATACATTTTTCTTTTCAAGCCCTCTATGAACGAAACGAAATATAAACAGAGAAATTGATAAAAACAAAACGTTGTGAGAGCAAAGAAATTCTGAAGTGAAGAATTTATCTGACCTATGGCCGTTCTTGAAATTAGATGACCATTTGTGGAACTTGTAATAATTGGAACACCGCTATCCTTCTGTTACAAAACATGTGACTAAGAGACATGAGTTAATATCCTCAGTTGCAGTAATTGAAATGGAATGCATAGTTTAATAAAAGTCGATATTGGGTTGCACGCACAACAAAATAGCAAAAGTGAAAAGAAAAATCGAATTTATTTTAGTTTAGTCAATCCTAATGTTGCAGTGGGGGAAAACTAATTGATTGAGGAAAGACGAAACGATCTATGTGTGAGAGATGAGCATACTTTACCTTGAGCTTAAGAATCGTAAACATTCAGCGTCCAGAGTAAATAATTCATCGAAATGATGTTGCTCTGAAACGAAACTATTTATTGTCCATGAACTCATAGACACTTCATACTGAATATCATCTTACTTCCCCATTATCCCTGTGTAATTTACACTGATATACCAACGCGCAGAACTAGTATTCACATTAACGAATAAGAAACAGTTAGTTGCGTTTTGAAAAAAAAATGAAAACAAACGAAGACTAAAAAGAAAGCTGGGATCAATGCAACCAAACTAGACGTACACATGTCGGTTTTCTTTTGATTTTCTGATAGAGACAAATCATAATAAAATCATTTTATTTCAAATTAATTATCAATGGGCAGCTGCATCAAACCAGCAATACGCTGCAACGTAAGCGCAAGTGACAAGCTGGCATAATACCAAGAGATCATGTATGCAACAAAAAGAAACATATTTCAAATCATAACAAGGAAGAAAAAATAAAGCGCTAGAACGCTAAGATATAAGAGACAATTTTCATATAGTATTAGCACATGGAGAAAAATAAAATCGAGAGTCAAATCATATGAATTTCAATTGGATTAAACAAAAGAAAAAGTAAATTGAGCATCTGAATGTTATATACAATTGATTATCGTGAACCAACAAAAAAAACAAATTATTCATCGAATTCTGATGATGATTGACTATCAGATGTGTCATCACTTACCGACGGTAATATGGATACATCAGAAGTTGATGAAAGTGTCGAATTAAAAGTAGAGGGTTGTGATAAAACGCTACCTGATCTACTAGAATTTGATCGATGATATCCTAGACAAAAGAGATTTTTGAGTTAACAAAGATTTAAACTCATTGAGCACCTACGAAGAACTCCTGGAATAAAATAGACGGATGAAGAAGATGAACTTGATTGACTACTGCCTGCATAAAATCTCAATATTTACTTATAAATGGAAAATATTTTCGATACTCACCCTCTGATGATTCTCCCAATACAATAGTAGAAGAAGAAGCCGATGAAAAACGATCTTGATCATCATCGTCGTCACGAGAATCCTCGTTGTAGTCATGAGAATCAGGCTGATAATTTGGATCAGCTATTTGATTATCATTATCATAGTCATAATCATGATTATCATCATCATAATAACCGGTACCATACCCCTCATCATCCTCATCATCATAATCGGTAACGTCATCCTCATCATGATAATCCATAACATCATCTTCACCGGCGCCATCGACCTCATCTATACGTCGATGGTGAGTGACAAAATAATAAAACAGACGAATTCCTTACCCGTTGATGATACGCTGAATTCAACCAATCCATTATCTAAAACATCATTATCTAAAAAAAACGACATGTCCATTCAGAAATCAAGAGAATGGTAGATTTACTCACTAATTGCTGGTACCACAGCCGCAACACTTGATGACAAAACCACATAACCTTGACCTTGTCCATAACCAACACCTAAAAAGCGCTATGTTCATAAAAGAGACAAGAGAGTGGACAAGTCACTCACCCTCCTCTGGTATCACCATGCCAATGTCCGATGTTGATACCATATCCAAATCCATATTGGCATTGAGGGTGGGTGTGTAAGTGTATTTGAATAAAAAAAGTCGATTTCTAAATTTATTTATTGTTTTCCTCAAACATGGTTTCTGATCAGAAATATTGAAACAACTTTCACTCGACTCGCACGAGCTATAACCAATACTTTTATTTTATTTTATTTTAAAGGTCTGAATGAGAGTAAACTTTTGTTCGAACAGATTTTTTATAGTTGATTCATGGGTTGAGAAAAGTCGAATTTACTGTTATTGGACTACCGTTTTTTATGCTGATTTTCAGAACATATCTACAAAAACGCTCGTAAAAAAATGAATAGAATGGAATTCCAAAATTCTGTTCCAACAAAACTGCGCACTGACATCGACTGTAATTTCAAACTAACTCGAGCTCTATACTTCGCATAGCAAAGAAGTTATTAGAATTCCAAAAATAGACTATTAATCAGTTGGAAATTCAGCCTGGAATGACTTATATGGATGAAATTTTTCCATAAGCGTATCTCACTAGGATCACTCATTTCTGGAAGGTTTAATTCAAATGGACTATCCTCAGTGGAAAATCGATTCTGAGAGAACTTCTTAATTTAACTTACTTGAATAAGCGTCTTCTTCTGGATCAGGTAACACATATGTAGCTGCTTTCAGAATCGTGATTTGATTAGTTAATTGTTTGCATAAATAAATAGCTTCTTCTTTAAAAAAAATTTCTTCATTGTCTTCCATATTAGTTATTGTATTGATAATTTCTTTCGAATTTGATTTTTCATACAATAAAGACAATGCATCACGCACATTAGTATCAACATCTAAAGTACCACCACCAGCAATGAACATTTAAACATTTGTTAAACGTTTTAAATCAGGTTGTTCGGGTAAATTAAAAGAAGTTTGTAAAATTTTCCCTCGACTGAAGAGAAAGTCATACGAAAAAAACACAAAATGCATCATGATTTAATTTAAAAAAATAAAATAAACTTGAATAATAAAAGAAAATCATATCAAAACAAAAGAAAATGCAGTATTTATTTATCTATTCCATTCAATTATATGACAAGTAGAATTCTCGACCAGTGTCTGTTAGAACCAGCTTGTAAATTCGATCATCATCAGTACATTTATATTAGATTCACATTAACCTATAAAACGAATCAAAGTACCATAGCACGACAAATATAATAATAACAATAAACAAATCCAAAGATTAATAAATTCAAGTTATAAGAACTGCACATGTATATATTATAATTTAATATAACATAAAATAAACTTGAACTTATTAATTTTGGATTTGTTTATTGTTATTATTATATTTGTCATGTTATGGTACTTTGATTCGATGTATAGATATCGTTGTTAATGTGAATCTAATATAAATATACTGATGATGACCGAATTTAAAAGCTGGTTCTAACAGACACTGGTCGAAAATTCTACTTGTCATATAATTGAATGGAATAGATAAATAAATATATTAATTATTACTGCATTTTCTTTTGTTTTAACACAAAATGCGTTTGCCTGTTTGTTTGTCGGGGTCAAAGGTCAAAGGTAAAAAAAAACATTGCCTTAAAAGTTCAATGGTAGACGTTTTTCTCCATCCTAAAAGGACGGAGTCTTCACAATGGAAATTCGTATGTTTCTCCGATGTCTGATTGGTCGAAAAATAGGCCAATCAGATTTCAGGAGGACTTTTCTTTCTTATTATCAGGACAAGTGCTCATCACGTTCGGACCAATCCTAGGGTTGTCGAGGACGCTCTATCGAATGAGGGGTATATGCGAGAACTCCGCCTTACATATTACTGAGAAATATATTCTTTGCTATGTGATTGGTTGAAAAATGGGCCAATCAAATTTGAGAAGGACTTTTCCTTCTTATTATCAGGACCAGAGATGTCCACCGCGGCGCTACAGTCAACGTAATTGAACTGCGAGCGCGGTTCGATTGCGTTGATGGTAGCACCGCAATGAACATCTCTGATCAGGACAGGTGTCAGTCATGTTCGGGCCGATCCTAGAGTTATCGGGAACGCTCTATCGAATGAGGGGTATATGCGCGGGTTCTACCTTGCATATCACTGAGAAATTGAATCTCGCAATCTGCAATCAGGTTTTTCAAGCTGAAATTCCGGTCAATTAAGTGTTTTTGATACTGGAGGGTGTGGGTGTTGGTGTGAGTCTCCCCTTTATACTCACACGAGGCCCACACCCACTCTCTAAAAAAAAATTGGTGTCATAGGAAAATATTAAAGGTTTTAGCGAAGATCCAGAACCTTTTAAGGTTCCATTCACCTATTAGTAAACCATCAAAAGGTTCTAGATGATTTGAAGAACCATGCCAAATAAAAAAAATGGCTCCAGAGGTTGAGAAGAGTTCTATCTTCCACCATTTTCCTACATAAAAAAACCATGATAGATGAAAAATAGTTCCAGATATTTAGAAAGGTTCTGTCTCGCACCAATTTTTTTTCATAAAGAACTATGAATGATGAAAAATGGTTTAAAAGATTTAAAATGATTCTGTCTCACACCTTTTGTCTTTATAAAGAACTGTGACTGATAAAAAATGGTTCCAGAGATTTAAAAAGAGTTCTATGCTGAACCACTTTTTTCTGTGAGGCATGACGACTAAAATAAAATGGTTCCAGCGAATCAGAAGAGTTCTACATCGTACTATTTTTCTTATTAAAGAATCATAATTGACTTTAAATGGTTCTAGAGATTTATAAGAGTTCTATCTCGTACCGTTTCTTCCCCATAAAGAACCGTGGTTAATAGAAAATGGTTTTAGCAATTTAAAAGGGTTCTATACTGCACCATTTTCTTCATGCTCTCCTTCTTTTAGAAGCGTAGTTCTAGCACAAGTCACCTGTATTGAATTGGAAATAAAAGAGGCCAAACAGATTCTTTGAACTTTGTCAAGCGTTACGATACATTTGCAATAGCGTTCGAATCCAGGACACTTCATTAAATGTCCCATAATCTTATACGTCTCATCTGAAAGCTCTTCCAAATTTCACAATAGAAAAAGCTTCGTAGTGAATGTCTCCAAAGTATTATAGACAGAAAGTTCCCTATTAAATTATTTTCTTTCAGGCTTTCTATAATAGAGGTCGCTGTTTACTGATCAAAAACACGATTAATCTAAATTGTCTCTATTTTTATCGTTCTGCCATTCATCTTGCTATTACGTTCACATACTTCATTAGTAGATTTACATTTTATATTTCGCCAGACGCAGCTACATTTGAGAGCAATATGAAAAACATCGGTTATATTCCCAATAGAATTTGTTCACTAAAATTTTGAGATGGCTACATTTTGTCCGAGCAGAAACAGAGATTCTGACGACTGATAGCTACCTCTATTTGAATTTCATGAATCTCTACAATGATGTCTTCGCTATTGCTTTTAGGCCGTTGAATGTTTGAGCAAAATAAGCTAAAAGTTTGCTCACTCTTTTCTTTAGGTAGAATGTTTCTTTAGTAGACAAATTTTAACTATGAAAATATCTTCCTTTTCATCTCACTTGGTGTTCATCGCGCTCAAATTAGTTTAACATTGGAGTTTAGATATAGATATACGAGTTAAATATTGAAATATATATTAGAGAAAGAAAAAGAAGTAAGATATATAACTGATGGGTAAGGATAGAAATAAAGAATTAAAAGTAGAATTAAGCGATTGGAAATAGAATTCAGTGATTACAATTAGTATTAACGAATTAAAAATGAAATTATGCGGTTAAGGCCAGATATAAGAGCTAAGGGTAAAACTATCGAGTATCCCAAAAGTCCCTTCTGCTTAAATTTTTCGTATATATTTGCAATTTGATCTAACTCGATTAACTATGTTTTTTTCAAATGATGGGTAAATATAATGAGTTTTTATCGATATGAACAAACATCAGAATGACTGTTCAAAGATGTGAACCTTAACCGAAATGCAAAAATAAAATATTTGTCGAAACTTCAAAAATCATAATGCAATATTTCTTTTTTAATTCCTACGAGTTATCCATCAATGAGGATTTTTGAATCGTCTGATCGTTGAAAAGTCTTTTCATCGACTTTTATTTTGATATGTCTTCACAAAAACGAATTGAATGGTATCAAGTCAAAATTTAAGAAATTAAGAACGGTTGTCATCTATAAGTCTTTCTAGAAATAGAGAAAAAATCCAACTTTTGTATTCGGGTTAAATTTCACATGTCTGAACAGTACTTTCGAAGTTTGTTTGTATCAATAAAATTTTGTACATTTACCTATCATCTAAAAAAAGATAATTGATCAAGTTAGATAAAATTGCAAACATATGAAAAAAAATTAATTGAAAGAGTCTTTTGAAATATCCGATTAGGGTTACTAAGTGAGAAAATGTCAGATTATTTTTCGATTTTTGTGCACCAAAATGAAAATGATAATCGATTGAAATCTTCTAAATTAACCATAATTTGATTTTAATCAAAAATAATTGTTTTTAATTTTTGATTAAAATCAAATTATGGTTAATTTAGAAGATTTCAATCGATTATCATTTTCATTTTGGTGCACAAAAATAGGATTATAATCTGATATAATCGGGTATAATCTGACATTTTTTCACCGAGTAAGGATACGGTCAAGAATAGAAATAGGAGTTAAGGATAGATATAAGAACTACGGTAGAAATAATGGGCTAAGGATAGAAAGAGGTCGTTAGATGCAAAATCAATCAGCAGCACTAGACAAAGGGTCTAAAATGAACTGGTTTCTAGCTGGCTAGAACCATTTTTAAAAGAAAGGAAAAAAAGGTTCGAGATAGAATCAGATTATGCTTGAACCTCAAAAGTTTCTGAAAATAGTACCCAAATCTAGAACCTTTTAAGGTTCAGTCTGACAGCTTTTTTTTACAGAGTAATGAAGTGATAAAAAATGGTGGAGAACAAATACATAAGAATTACATAGGTTTTTGTCAAATCATATTATTTTGTGTGTTAATAATCCAGAGCGTGCCTTATTTTGTTAATAAAATTATTTACTGATCGTTTTCGAAAACTTCATCATTACCTTGTTGTGTTCATATTTTTCTTATTCTAAGGGAAGATGTTATTCAATCATATATCGTTTGAAAGGCCATTTTGAGTACTTGAAATTGATATAAAAACATAAAGGTTGAACACTATTCTATATATCAATATAAACCATTTTTGTCGTGTTTCAAAACTTATGAAACACTCTGTATATTTTTTGTATGTGTATTATGTTTTATTTTCATTGGATCAACAATTTTCATATAGGAAAAAGATGGTAAAGCAATCAGTCATTCATCAAAAATATTTGATTTTTCATATTTCTTAGAATTATGAGCATGCGCTCTATTTATAATTGATGTGTTAATGAATGTTGATGGAACTAATGAATAGAATGTATTCAAATCTAAGACTGTTAGTAGTAAATTTCGTCAGCACCGTACAGCAAGCTTTAAAAAACAACCCCAAAATGCATTACTTGATGATTATCTATTCAGTTATGGTGAATTTATTCAATGTGTTAAATGATTGATAATAGACAATGTCAAACATAAGACTCGAGATTTTTTGTTTTCTAATTACATATTAGATGGAGAAGAAATACCATTATATGTAGAAATAAAAGATGTTATTAATATTGAAAAAGGATGGAGATTTATTGGTAATTATTATGACATAGTAGCATTTAAACAAAATCTGTGATGCTATAAAGTTATTCCATCAGATATTTATATGGTATTAGTTAAAAAAGAATTTTTAACATATAAACCAGCAAACTGCTACCATTTAAATAATTCATGACAAAAATAGATATCCAGCACTTG